AGATTCGGGAGTTCCATCATTTTGCAGTGACTTTTTTCTGTTTTCTGCGAGCTCTTGTCAAATAATTTCTTCTCTAAGCGGAATGTACCTATGAGCTGCGCAGCTCCAAAATCCTTGCAACCCTCAACAATTCTGCGCATTCTCGAGGTCCATCAGAATGCGGTCATTGTGCCGCAATCAATTCTAAAAAGGCGCAAATGTCCTCTGAATGTTCCTATAAAAAGTGGCCAACATTCTTTCGAATATCTGCAAACGGACCGCAAGAACTTAGCGAACTATTTTTCCGGTTCCCGCTTGCCTGTAAAAAGCATGGCCGCCTCCCTCCGACGAATCTCTGGAAGTATGCTAGCTCAGGTAATCGCCGGGGCGGGCGAATCGCAAACTCGCGCTTTTTTGAAAGCGGTCACCAGAATTTCGGAGCATAGGCCAAAACTTCAGCAGGCGGTACTTCCTTTACCGTCGCATATCGTGCAATGAGCAGCAGTTAAAAATTTTCTGCGAGCGCTCGTCAAGTAATTTCTTTCAGCGCGCTCGGACACTTTTAACGCAGTTTCGGGCGTACGGAGTACTCTAGTTACTCCATATGGCAGAAGTGTCTTCGATGGTTTAATTACACAAATTTAGGGTACCTTCTCCTAGCTGAAGGTACCCATAAGCCGTGCGGTCTTTCACAAAGGAACGTGCGGCCCTCAACTTTGCATATTCTCGCGGAGAGCCCACGAGAATGCGGCCACTGCGCCGCAACTAATGCCTACCGCCAACGATTCTCTGAGAGGTTACTGCCATACAAGTATTGCAGTGGCGGTCTCACGATTTCGGACCGGGAAAGGGGGGAGAGGTCGAGGCAAAAATTTTTTTCAAACTTAAGTGCGTGGCGTCTCCGAAAAAAAAATTTTGGTGCTTCTTAAAATTTTTCGAGCCCATGACCCCTGAAATGAAAAAGAGGGCATTCCCCACCCCCAAAAAAATTTTTTTACAAGGCTAATTCTGAATTTCAAAAAACTTTCAACTATTTACATGTATAAACAAGTCAGTTGCACATTTTTGTGGCCCATATAAGTAACTTTCAGAAATTCCGCGACCCATTCCGCGACATTCCCTGTAGTGGCGAACCGTGGAGAGCCCGCCCCCCCCCCCCCCCACTCTCCACGGTTCGCCACTACAGGGTAGATGTTCACCAATTCATGTGATCCTTTGGGGGATCCCCAAGGGATCACCTCTCATTTTCAAAGTCATCTATCTTGCTGGAAAGTCAATGGAAACATTGCAAAATTGTGCTGAGGATATACTACGGCACTGTTGAGCATATTTCCTACAAAAAATAAGTCTGAAGATTTTTAATTTTTTATTATCCCTAGCTCGCGAACAGTAGTTCTTCGAAGATTTCGATATTCTGAGATTCCACTTCTATTATTGCCATATTATATTCTCGGCACAGTTTTACGTTTTCAATGAATTTATAAGATGATAAATGACTTTGAAAATGAGAGGTGCTTCCCTGGGGATAAAAAATAATGAAAACCTGATGTTGTATGGCAGTATCCTGGCAATCCCATTATGTGCAGGTACAGGGTATGACAAACTCTAGAACCCAGGTATAGAAAGTAGAAGAATGAATATTCAGAGTATCGAGATATGCCATGTCTCTTTTCAGATCCCCTCCCCTCCCCAAGGGGATGTAAGTGCATAGGAACTCAAAGTTTTTGGCTGAGATCCAGTCTCCAAGTTTTACAGAACCTCATAATGTACCCTAAGCTCGATTTTTCAAAATTTCTCAGCCACCAACCCTATTTCTATTCCTAGAGCCAAGCTATCCAAAGTGCCGTCTTCTCGCCCCTCTTTGCATTCCAAAGCCCTATGATGTCTCCAAGGTTATCCTAACTTAAGTACCAAATATTTTTCCTGCAGGTGTTGATAATGCTGAATTTCACCGCACCCATTCCGTAACCTCCTCAGTGGTGATATAGCTACAGGTCCACAGCTTCCTACTCCCTCAACTTTTGCACGCAGCCCCCCCCCCTTAAAAAAATCCTTTGCTCATTTTCCTCTCGATCTCCTAGATTCAAGATGCCTATTTTTCTTGCTCTGTGTCTCTACTGATAGCCTTCCTATAGCAAAATCACAAAATCTTTTCTTCAAGGTTTGCTGGTAGGGTTCCTCATAATTTTCTTTCAAAAATTTGAGCTAGCGTTATTACGGGCTTATCAACTGCAGCGTCGGGAGCACCAGCATCTCCGCTCCCGCGAGGCCGCTTCGCCTGGACCCTGCGCCTCTTTCGCGAACATGCTCTCTGATCATTTTCCCTCTGCGAGCGGAGGAAAGGCGGAGCCTCGATCGATTGGATTTGATTACGGAGCATGTTCGCGGAAGAGGTGCAGAGTCCCGCGCGAAAGTGAAGATTCCGGTGCATCCGACACTGCAACTGATAAGCTCTGTATATGCACTTCCTTGCTCGAAGCTGACATAATCAAAACTTGAGGAATTGTCTAATTACTGATGTCTGAGCGTTCTTGAGTACCACAGACGTTTAGGACCGTATGCACGTACACTTTCGATGGGGAGGAGAGGCGAGGAGGGCGGTTTACGTCTTGGCGTTCTAGGAGTGTGTGTCCCTCGTTTCCTATCCTTTTTTTAGAGGCTCTACTATCTTATTACTTTGGTATGGCGAGCGAGCCAGATCATATTAGGTTTTTCACTGTTTTCATGGTCCCCTGGTGGAACACAGGGGAACAGAAAAAGAATGAAGACCACACTTAATCAAAGTCGTTTACCTTTTGACAAATTCATTGGAAACACCGTGAAGTTTTGCAGTAAATCCAGTATGATAGTGCATCGCATGTTTGTGGGGTACATAAATGCAATTTCAGGATGTTGAAATCTGTAATAAACTACGCTCTCGTACCGGAGTTATTCGGAAAACTCATGACTTCCATATCTATATGTCTTATCGAAGACATGCTTAGCACTGCTATGGTAGATCCTCAGCGCAAATTTATGACATTTTTGAGTTCAAAGGCATTAATTCGGCAAGATCTCGCTTTCAGCTTTTTGGAGCCTTCTCGGCACGCTGAACCTATACATGGGCTTTGCAGCATAACCTATACATGGGCTTTGCAGCAGCAAAAATGACGAAAATGAGCTTCTTCGAAACTCTCCATGTCTGCACTCCCTGCAAAATTTAGTTGAGGGCCTGCCACTGCAGCGCTTTGAAATCGCAGTACCCATCATCTTGATAGGAGCTGCCTTTAATGAAAGATACATGATGATGATAATTTCCGAATAGGACAGTGATGCTCTGAAAACTCCCAGAATCACTCAAAACTATGAAAATGTCAGTTTTATGAAAATGCTTTTTATTCATTAACACGTTGACAACAAAAAGCATTTTTATTTGTCTGCCTCGTGAGACAATGCATTTCATGGTTAAATCGAAAATATTCAGCTTAAATCATGCAGATCGTCAACTAAAGTACACCGACAATATTTCTATGGAGCTGGTGACAAACGCAAAAATATTCTCTAGGGTCAGAGCGTAAGAGAACGAAACGACTGTAGTTCAAGATAGCAGTCATTTTAAAAATTTTGAGCCGTGACCCACCATGTGGGCACATTGTCGTCAATGTGTCAAACCAGGGTCTTTAGGGTCAGAGTGTAAGAGAACTTTTGAACGATTGTAGTTCACGATAGTCATTTTGAAAATTTTGAGCCGTGGTCATGGAGCATGTGGATCACATTGTCATCAATATGCCAAACGCACGTAGGAATGGAGCCTTCGCAAAATGGATAGAAAGCGGGGATAAATTTGAACCGAAAAGCACACAAAACGCCTCTCACATCTCTCCTTTTCAACAGCAGGGTCTGCATCTATAGGCACGCGCCATGATTCGCTTAACCCAATGGGACTCGTCTTTTCGTCTTCGCCAAAAAAAGCCCACAAACGCTCAAAAAAGCCGGAAAAAGCCCGAAAAAGCCCAAAAAAGTCTGAAAGGGCCCGAAAGAGCCGGATTGCAGAAACGAACATTTGGTAGAATTGTGGCATTATTTTTATGGGCAGACGACAGAAAATGAAGTAAAAAGACCCGGTTGCGAAATCAACACGCACGCCTTAGCGTCAAAACGCAAGGGGTATTCCGGCTCTTTCGGGCCTTTTTGGGTTTTTTCGGGCTTGCTCAGGCTTTTTGGGCTTTTTGGGCTTTTTGGACGCTTTTGGGCCTTTTTCGGCGAAGTGTGACGGGTCCCCTTTGATCCACTTCGCTATTGCTCATATCAGCGAACAATAGCGAAGTGAATGTGCACGATCCACTTCATCGACTTCGCTATTGATCACTGCACTGGCTTGAGCAGTACCGAAGTGGATCATGTGGAGCAAGTATGGCTCGTACCTAAGGAACCAAAAAATGTTGGACTATTCTCAGCGAAAAAGCTAATCATATGGAGAAAATGACCAGGAGAAACTAAGAGAAAGAGACACTCTTAGTATGCATGAGCAAAAACAACTGTACAGCTAAAAACAAGTATATCATTACTTGTACAGATCTGACGGCAGACTACAATGAAATTCAAAAATTCAGCATCATGATTTCAAAAGAAACTAACTAATAGCATCTATACACCCCCCTCATCACAGAAAGCAAGGGGGACCTTGCCAGTAACAAGCTGTCACTATGCTTGAAGTAAATTTCGAATAGAAAGTAGGCTTGTTTGGCCTTTTAATCCAGATAGCTTCAACGCCTCAAAAATCCATCAACACTATGAACGGCAAGAGAAGCTAATCAGGGCAAGATATCCTCACAGCATAATAGGCTCAAAGCTAGTTTAGTTCCAGTCCGCTCAAATACTGAAAGCGGCTTTTTGCCTGAGCAGAAATACTACAGCGCTGATGCACTTTTGTACTTTATGTGAACGTAAGAAGCTTTAACACGGGAAACAATCTACCACCGGCTGCTAGATTGCCGCGAGGCGGTTCCAGTCGAGTGCATCGTCGACGCGGTTGTTCAGGGTCATGCCTGGAACATGATACACCTAGGGGTAGCATTGAAAGATTAAAGAGAGAGGAATATTGCAAACAAAAACCGGATGACAGAGTAAGATATTAACCTGTGACATTCGTGTCGCCAACAGTATATTGCTGAAATATTGATGTTGCGCGGCGCTGCCCTGCAAACAAAAGAAAGTGCTTGTTGTTGTTTTGTCTAACAAAAGACTTGATACGCAACATTTCAGCAATTGAAAAAAGAACATTCCAAATCCTCTTAGGTTCCGGCCAGACTTCACTCAAAAGCGCCCAAACTTCTCTGACCTCTCGTCATTTTCTCATGTGAGGAGAGATGAGAGAGAGCGAAGAGAGGTTAGAGAAGTTTGGGCGCTTTTGGGCGCTTTCGAGTGCTTTTAGGCGCTTCTGAGCGAAGTCTGGCCATAGTGATCAAAAGGAAGCTGGACAACCACAGACCAAACTTCGCGATATTATACGTAAGTCATGGATCACCGATACAAAAGGCCTGATCCCTCGAAAAACCTGCGTAAACCAACAAAGAATGCTACATGTTTCTCATGTTCATGACTAAGTTTACTGGCGCCTCACAGAAAGTTGGCGATTTCGCAAAAACATCAAAAGAAACATTTGGGAAACAAATAAGAATTTCATCTGGCTGCTAATTAGACTACTTATCACATGATAATCTCAATTGCAAATGGAAAACCTCGCCATCAACAATCGGAACACAACTTTTGCTCATTTTGCTCACAAGCTTTGTGAGAGCTAGGCTTCTCAAACTCAGCATTCATTTATTTATGTCAAATTGTGACTATTGAGGGCATACTACTCCCCTTCTGTTGCCTGTGCCTAAAAGGCAACTTGTTCTCAAAAATATGATCTTCGTTCGCTGATTTCCATTTTCATGCCGTGATATGAGAACACAATGTCGATAATTCACGACACTGATGGCAAACCATATGTGTTCCAGCCTTCCATGAACTCAAAAAGGTGAAATCATACCTTAGCAGTGAAATAACGTACATCAAAAAGGGCATTTGTACGAACATAACAAAGATGACAAATGTCTGACTTCTTTGATTGATGAAGTGTTTGATAGGATTTCCGACAACTGGCTAAAGACCAAGTCAGTTTACAAAAGAGAAAAGTCTCGGCTAGAGGTCAAGTCAGTTTGCAGAAGGGAAAAAGTCTCTCGAATCAAAACATCTTCGGCGCTATTCGGCTATCCGGGGCCCAATTTCTTCGTCACGAATTTTGCTAAAACTTGGTCGAGAGGGGTTATTCAGTCCGCTTCATAGATATCGTACTGCTTTCGTATGGTAGCGTCATTTTCTAGGGTTACAGTGGATATACGGTTGGGGGTCAAAGTCGTGGATTTTGCTCAGAATCGGTGGAGGAGGGTTATTCGACCTCCGCTGTTGCCGTATGTCAAATTGGTTTTCGTACGGTAGCGCCATTTTTTACAGTTACAGTGGAATCAAGATGAGGGATCGACATCGTGGATGCGCCTGAAACTTGTCCGGGGGTGATTCGACATGCTGATCACGGAAATCACGTCTTTACCTCACGAAGACGTATTTCTTGTGTATATGGTAGATATATATGGTCGCACGGTACGCGGCAAATCCTCTTTGCCTGTGTTTGCTTAGGCAAGCCGCCGCAGAGTGTGTCGCGCACGGCGATGGTCCTGTATGAAAAGCATGACGGTAGGGCAAGTCGATCCACCACGGCACTCAAACAGAAAGTTTCAGGCCAACTTGCCAATTTGACCCCTACCTAAACCTACAGTAGCTCCATAAAAGGGCCATATCATGCGAAGAGAGTATGATTTTCGTGATTAGCATGTCAGATAACCCCCTCAGGCCAAGTTTTAGCCAACGGTAGCCCTAGAAAATGAAGCTATCGTACAAAATAAATATGATTTCGGCATCAGCGGGTCGAGTAACCTCCCTCGACCATCTTTCAGCGAAATCTGTGATTTTGGCCCCTACCGTATACCTACCGTCCGCACAGGGAGGCGTTTTCGCGCCGAAAAAATGTGATACTCGTGATCAGCATGCAAGATAACCCCTCTGGGCCAAGTGTTAAAGAAATCCATGACAAAAAACGCAGCCTGGATAGCCGAATAGCATCACATCCTTCATACACAAGATGTTTCTGGCAAGCTGAAGATTCTGAATTACAACTCTAGCACAAAATACCCTTTTGAAAGATCACAGCAAAAGTTTCAAGGATTTCCGACAAATCTCCAAAATAAGCCAAGTCAGATCAGATTTTTGCAAGAGAGAAGTCTCCCTAATAACGTCTTCAAACACAAAATTTTCTGGCAAGTTGAATATGCAGATGCAGAATCTCAGTTCTAGCACTAAATACCTCTATCAACAAATCGGAATGCAAACACGTTCACCATCGAAACGCAAACACGATCACCAAGGATATATATTGGAAAGACCACCAAATAGATACATATAAATGATAGATACATAAATATAAATGATCAGAATTTGAACATTCAATCAGAATTTGAACATTCAACATACCTCGCTTCTTTTTTTGGCTTCTTCTCGTGCCCCTGGGAGGTTCAAGGACTGCGATTCGCCACGCTGCGATACAGCTTCCCTACGTAAACTAGTTCGTATTGAAGGGTGCACTCCACTTTGTCGCTGGAAAAGCAGTTCCCCGCTTTTGCCGCAGGATGGAAATCCTAGAAGACAAAACTTCAAAAAACAGCGCAGAGTCAAAGCAATGAAATCTTTGACGAGTTATGGCACATCTCTCAGAATGAAAGCTTCAGCTTAGGCGCTGTTAGATTCTCTGAGACCAGTCTCAATAACTCCACGCCCAAGAATACCTTGCAGATGAGGAAGGTAGATTTCGAATACGCATTTTACGCGCTATACTACACATTTCAACTCATAAGGGCACTTCAACTAATCATTATTCCTTAAGTGTCGGTAAATCACGACCTGAGAAGTCTTTTGACATGTCCGTCGGGAGGAGCATGAATCATTCATCGTATTCCGTTTCAGAAAATGAAAGAGGAGTTGTACATGCAGTACTCTGCGTTGATACCACTGCTT